GTGAAAATGTTTCCATGAATCAAAATCTAATAGAATCTAGCTTCATTAGGATGTTGCTGGATTTAAGCAAGTTGACTTTGAAATTGTTGAAAGAACAAAATTAGTTATGCTTATCAGATAGATGTATGATATGCTGCAAATATATTGTCTGAAAGTGTGTCTCAAGGAGAAGATGGGAATAATGTTTCTAGGAATAGGACAACCAGGGATAAAGAAGTTGTGCAGTATCTTGATTTACATATATGGAATGGGATCCATCTCCTTGGAATCCCATTTACATGGTAACTTTATTCTACGAATCTCAAAGGCAGAACACATTTTCATACATGATAAAGTAGATGGTTGGCAGTGTGACAGCTTATTTAGAATTAGCATAATTTTAGAAAATGTGAGACAGACTGACTATACCACTTCCTGATGGATATATGAGTGGAGTATAGAACATTATTTTTACCAATTTGATTGAATATTGTATTCTAAATATTTCTATAAAAATAGCTTGGATGAAAATTTCAGGGCAATATATTGCCATTTTGGCAATATAACTACATCAGCTCTGTAAGCAGTTCTGCAGCTTAAATGTATTTGGTATCTTTATACCTAAAATATTAAAAATCATCCTCTAAAAATATGTATTTCTTTATATTTTTGTCATTAACTTGTACTCATTGTTTAATACTCAAGTATTGAACTAAGGAATGTTTTAACTCAGGCCAGTCATGGACAGTAAAAAAACTCAAAATATTTAGCTGTTGAAAGCAATGGTTATTCAGTAACTCTGAAAAATAAAATCTCTTCTTTTGGCAGAAATTGTCCTTTGACAACATGAAGTATCATTTTTTTTCCCCTCAAAGCCTTCTAAATGGTAAAGTTTAGCTGGATGAATGTCTCTAGTATCTACAACCAGGAGAAAAAAAGAAAAAAAATGTGTTTTTCTCTGAAGGCTAGTAAAAAGTCTTTAGAAAACTGGTTTAGATTGGATTTGAACAGATCTTTTTTTCTTACACTGCACAAAGCCTTTAATTCGTGACCATATCTTCAGGTGGGATCAGCCTACAGCAGATTCAGTTCCAATACAGGGGTTACAAGTCTTCAGTTGTAAAGCAGAAAGCAAAAGAGAGCTTTACATTTGATATTGCAGTCATCTCCATTTGTTAAGGTATTCTCAGCATCAGTTAATCCCATCCAACAGAGGTGAGGAAGCTGAAGTGTGGGGCTGGTTTAAATTAAGGATAAAGATACCTCTTTTCGGTGACGTATCTCTTTTTGGTGACATATTTATTGATATATATTTACTTTATCATGCAGTGCAATTAAACTTGTTCACTGAGCCTAAAGCAAATTCTCAGTGAACTCTCTAATAGCTGGGGATTGGATTGGACACTCAGGTAAACATTTTGTTACCCTGATGAAACTGTTTTTTTAAGATCACTTTGTAAAAGTTTCCTCTGATCTTTCTTGTGCCTGCCACATGGTCTCCTTCCCTGTCATTTTTCCCTTTGCATATTAGAGCCTAATGAAAATGAAATTGTCTGGCTCCCAATCAGCCTGAGCATATTTCATTATTCACACTTCCCCTTACATAGCTGACTTCTATTGATACTTCAAACTAAAATCAATGCCATCTTCTTCAGGAAGGCATTCCTAACCAGCTGGTCTAACTAGGTGAGCTTGGCTTTCTCTGCCACCTGAAAGCTCTCTGGATGGATCTTTCTGTCAATGTGGGCCACGTTAATGTGTCTCCTCCTTGACTCAGATACACTTCAGAACAGACACAGGACCACTACTTCTCTCTCTTTTCTGATTCTGAGGATTGAACCCAGGGATGCTCTGCCACTGAGCTATATCCCTAGTCCTTTTTATTTTTATTTTTTTTTTATTTTGAGACAGGGTTTCACTAAGTTGCTGAGGCTGGTGTTGAATTTGTAGTCCCCCTGCCATGGTCTTCCAGTCTCTGGGATTATAAGCCTATACCACTTTGCCTATTTCTGGATGACTAATTTTTAAACCCTCAGTGCAATCTATTGTCCAGTAATTATTGAGTAATTAAGTAATTACTCATGGAGTGCATCAGTGAATATAACAGCTTTTTTTTTTTCTTTCTGTGACTTTCAGTTTACTGGAGAAATATACAAATGTTTTAAAAACAATATGACAATGTAAAATAAAGTGGCATACTTTTGATTTGTGATCAGGGGAATCTTTGGGAAAAGGAAATGAAACCTGAGACCTAATAGATGAGTAAAGTTACTTAATCAAGGCTTGGGGATAGAGGAGTGTTTCAAGCAGAAGAAAGCACTGTATGAAGATCTTGTGAATAAAGCTGTGTCATGATTTTTTAAATGCTCACAGTACTTTACTGAGGAGTAATGTATACCTAGTAAAATGCACCAATCTGAAGTAGTTTATACCGTCTTAATGCAGTTTGAAATTTTTACATTCGTATACATTTATATTACCCCATCCAGAGGAAGATAGAGAACATTTTTATCTCCCCTCAAGTTTTTCTTGAGAAAATTCCACCCTAGGGGATAACCACTATTTGGACATCTATCACTCTATCACTCTGTGGGATGCTTTCAGACAACTGAAAGACACTCAGTGTAACAGATACAGGGAGTAGTGTGGTAGGAGAAGGAGTGAGAATGCAGTGCTGGGCAGATGGCAGATCATGAAGAGCCTTGATGTGGACTTCGAACTAAGTGAAAAGAGTAACTGTTGGAGATCTGAGGGAGAAGTGGACATAACTGCATTAATGTGTTAACAACTGTACTAACCAAAATGGTTGAAAGTGGAGGTAAAAGAACCAGTTAGGAAATTAATGCAATGTTCCAGTGGAAAGATAACGATAATGGGCCCAGGAATAGCAAGTAGATGGAGAAAAATCAATGAGTTTAAGATGTAGTTTAAAGCTTACAGATACTCAAAAAGCATTTTTTGAAATGAACTATACTATTTTAGGAAAGAATATCACTTAGAAATCATAGTTACACTGCAACAGTTAATGTTGCTAAAGGGTATAGAGATATTCCCCCCTCAATTTAAATGCTATGTATTATTTTTATAGTGATAAAATGTATTCTTAACTAATTTATCTCACTTTTTTACTCATAAAATGAATATTGCTTGAAATTTTACATAATACCCAGCCTAGTATTTGCCTTTTGTTTGGGAAAAAAAAATTCTGTCCTTTTCTTACGTATAATTACAATGAGTTTAAACCTATTACCAAACATAGAATTTTATGTACATATTTATTTACAGCCTCAAAATATGACTCATTTTGCTGGCAAAAAAAATGTATAGAGAAGAAATATTCCAAAGAAATATGATTTTGAACACTTCTACTGTTAAATTAGGGCTGAATTACTTAAGCAAATTAATTCTATGATAAAAATCTTGATGACATTTAATTATTTCTTAGTGAATTTCCTATCATTTGCCCAAAATATGTTTTATTTGTTTGGATTTCAACCAAGGTAAATTCTCCAAATAGTCAGTTCTTCTTTGTTTTCACATTTTGAAAAGCTGAAGCTTGTGTCAGTGTCTTTATTTAAAGGGAAAAGCAGAATTAGAAGGCGGTGAGGTTACTGTACTGGGTTTCCTAGCATGCAGTAACAGAATACAACAAAGCTGACTTAAAACAATAGAAATTTATTGTTTCATGGGGTGGTTTACAACACTGGAAATTTATTGTCTCATAGTTCTGAAGGCCAGAAGCTCAATATCAAGGAATGTCCGTGCTCCCTCTGGGAGTCTGGGAAGCATCCTTTCTTCTCTTCTCAGCTTCTGGTGGTGTGCCAGGACCATCCTGGGTGTGCCTTGCTTCTGGATGTATGGCTCCAACCCTGTCTTTACCTGGTGCTCTCTCTCTGCCTGGTCTCCTCATAGTACTTCCTTTTATAATGACATCAGAGTTATTCAGTTGGAGGCCCTCTCCATTCCAGTATGACCTTCTCTTCACTTCACTAATTAAACAACAACTTCATTTCCAAAAACAATCCGAACAAGGAGGGGTTAGAATTTCACTATAGTTTTGGGGGTGAGGATACAATTCAATTCGTAGACGTCACCAAACTGATAAAAGTGAAATCTTCTGCCAGTGAAGAATCCCAAACTCTCTATCATATGTGGAAAAATAATTAGTGAAGTTATGGAAATCTTGTGTGTGTGTGTGTGTGTGTGTGTGTGGTGTGTGTGTGTGTGGTGTGTGTGTGTGTGTGTGGTGTGTGTGTGTGTGTGCCCTCGCACATTCACTCACGCTTGTGCTCTATTCTACAGACCTGGGATAGCTCTTATTCTTGGAGTCACAGAGAACAATGCAAATTATGCTTTACATTTCCTGCCTACTTCATTCCTTTTTTTTTTTTTTTTGGCATGCAAAATCATTAGAATTTTCTTAGAGCATGGTATGCATTTCTGTTCATAATATCAGCACCCTATTTCTCATCCCCTTTGTCTAATGTGATTTAATACAGGACAAATAAAAAGGAATTCCTCTAATTCCTCTAGATGGCTTTTGTTTTTACTTTCTGGATAAGATGGGTTGTCAAATACCAAAGTGCCTAACAATTTGGTTTATGGTGGATTTTAACTGCTTCTTTTTTCACTTGGGAAAATGCATCATTTGTACTGAATTTTATTTTAGACAGGTGATCTGAATAATTCAGTTACTCTAGTTCTGAATTTCCTCAGTAACCTGCTTTTTTTTTTTTTTCCACTCAATACTTTCAATAGTACTGGACAGACATTTAATGCACATCCACTGAACAGAAAGCACAAGGAAACAGAGGTGAACTATAATCCCTACAGTCAGAAGGGCTCTCCTAAAATAGCCAAATCAAAGACTATTTTTCCTGATCACTCTTCTAATAACTTGCACACTGGGTTATGATATGTTCAAGTTTAGAAATGAGTTAAACTAAGATGATGATAAATGTATCATGGTTTGTAAAATTTATTCGTGTACTCTACTGTGCTTTTTTATGTTTTTGTTTCAGCTGAAAGAGACATCAATGTCTACTGTGGAGTGCAGACTATCACGATGAAGATTAATTTTTGCACAGTACTTTTCTCGGGGTATTCTGAAACGGATCTGGCACTGAATGGAAGGCATGGGGATTCCCACTGCCGGGGGTTCGTCAACAACAACACCTTTCCAGCAGTGGTCATTTTCATCATCAATCTCAGCACCTTGGAGGGCTGTGGAAACAACTTAGTGGTAAGATTAGTGTGACACTGTGTGCTAGGTCTAGGGTCATAAATTAAAAAAAAAAACTCACCATTTCATGAAATAATCAGAAGCCTAGTCTATCTTCCAAGAAAAAATTGTGATAAAACTGGACACATCATTTTCTTTTAACTTTGAAGCTTGTATTCCCAAGTATACAATTCTCCCTTTTATTATAGTTATGTTTATGGGGCATTGAGGGTCTGAGGTCAGCTGTGCCTCTTTGAACATCATTCTTTGGAGTGAATGACAACCATGGGCATTTCTCTAAAGTTTTTCATTAGCTCTGTGCTTCATGGAAGTATATGGTCATGCAGTGTTGCAGTGAGTTTGGCTGTGAACCACTTGGCCTATTGCTGGAGTGACCTTGTTCTGAATGATTAAAGATAAAATGAGGAATTTGAACTCTTCTTTTACTCTTCACTTTCATGTTCACCAGTGCTTTATGCAAGAGGGCTGCCAGTGTTGCTAATGTGAAGTTCTTTCTTGTGTGGGACTATCCTTAGCATTTCAAAATGTTTAGCATAGGCCCGTGCATTCTTACATGGAATGTTACTAGCACTCTTCTCAATCATTTTGCAATTCAAAAGAGTGCTTTGAGATTTTCCATACCAAATGAGGACTAGCAGTCTACACCATTCATTTATTTATTCACTTGTTGAACCAAAAATAGAATTGAATAAGGAATTATCTTTCCAGAGAATGAAAATTAGTTGAAGTGAATGTATTGTGATGGGGGTATTAGTCACACTGAAATTAGGTTTGTACTATTTTTTTTTTTACTTTTCTTGTTTAGATCATTGGTAAATCCTACCAAAGACAGAAACTGGGATGTAATGTGCATGACCACTTTGCCCACTAAAAAAGGAGGCCTTGGCTTTTACTCTTCACAATTATTGTTTGGGATTAAAAGGGAAACCTTGGTTATTCTGAGGGTATGGTTTCTAAGATTTGGTGGGAGCTGGAAGACAGGGAATTTAATTGAATCTCTTTCTTTATCTTTTCCCAAAGGGCAGTTAGAATATTGTGCCCAGGACGGCTTCCAAGCCTGCAGGTTGGGTATTGTTGACTCTTTTTATTAAAAACGTTTATTCATCTCTCTGAGTTGTGTGCAGAGAGGTTATGAAGTGGGCCTAAGGGAGAGAGAAGCAGGTTGATTATTGCATGTCTTGTCTCCTTGTGGAGGGAGGGAGCCCATGTGGAGACGTGGAGACAGCAGCACTCCCCTCCTCTGACCACCCTCCAAAGCCTTTTCTAAGGATTCAAGTCACCTTGTCCAGCTGCCTAGAAAATAATCCAGGAGAAAAGCCAGGAAAACTGTTTCTTTCTGGGTGTGCTTTCACATTGTTTTTAAGAGCTGAAGAATTCTGATATAAAAATTACTCTGTGTGTATGTGTTTGCAGACAGAATAGGTATACTTAGTGATCTGGGCTAACAGTGGGAAGAGAGGAAGTTTTGCTTATTTTTCATTTTTCATCTTTGATGTCACCGGCTTTGGAGTCTGTTCCAAAGGCACTCTTCCATGAGAAAAATTAAGTAGACTAGTAAATCACTGGATTAGAACAAAAATCTTTTCATTCACAAGCATTTTTGCCCCATAGATGAATTAGCTAGATGATTGCCTCAGATTTCCCACGTGCTGTAAGGTTCACACGTGAAGTTTATCTAACCTATTGCTGGAAATTAAGTATTGCAGGTATCAGTTAGAACTGGTGAAAGTACTTCTTAAGTGCCCTATTGTATTTGTCATGGTGGGAAAAGAAACTATATCTAAAGTTCTCTGGTCTGAGGAAAATCAGAAATATTGATTATTCCTAAATTGCTGGTTCTTTGATTTTAGTAGGATTCTATAATCAAAAGAAGGTTGAGCAGTCCCAAGAAAATACACACAGAGAAAATATCTTCCTCTAACTACTGGAGTTCATTAACTCTTTCCCCAGAAGGGAATCAGAATCTCCGTGAACCACAGAGGAAGAATGCTGGGAAGAGTAATCCTCAGAAAATTTGGGACTTTTATTATGGGTTCAGAAATTATTTGTGAGGCCCACAGTGCTGGTGCTGGTTTGAAAATGTGAAAGTGAACAGGACCCAGATAGTCCTGCTCACAGAGAGCTCTGGGGATGTGGAAGGGTTCTGCCCAGTGATCAGGATGCTCAGGTGCTGTACCTGCTGCTGTGATAGAAATAAACCCTATAGGTGGGGGAGTCAGGGGCAGAGGATGTTAACCTGGGAAGATGAGATCCTGTGGAGTAAGGTATAGCACGGCCAAGTGGGGATTGGAGAGGCAGCACAAGGCCTGTCCACAAAGGCCAGAGCAACAAGAGCTTGGGACAGGTGAAATATTGCTAAGAGTGGGAGCCTGCAGACAGGATACTAATGTGGAAACAGGGTACAGTTAATAGGGAGGACCATTCACACTATGCCAGAATGTCTTTTATTTACTCATTTTAACTTTCTGGATATATAATCTTTTTCCTCTCTCATTAATAAAATATGAGTAAAGTGTCTGGCAAATATGAAGGTTTCATTTAGTTAAAAGATGTTTAATCACTTATAAATAGCGTTATGTTGTATAATTTAAAAACCACAGCATGTTACAGTTGAACCAGAAGCTAGAAATGATTTCATCTAATGTTTCATCTGCATATCAAGTGCCTACATTTATATATAACCATTGAATCACTGAACTTGGTCTTCCTTTCTCACAGGTGTCCACAATTCCTGGTGTCAGTGCTTATGGAAATGCAACTTCAGTACAAATAGGAAATATTTCAGGATATATTGATACTCCAGACCCACCAACAATCATCAGCTACCTACCTGGACTTCTTTACAAATTTAGCTGTAGCTATCCACTGGAATACCTGGTTAATAATACCCAGCTTGCTTCGTGAGTTCATGTTTTATTCTTGCTTTCTCATATTATCCTTGTGTTTGGGTCATTTCTTATTTTTGAAAGACTTTTATAGTTAGCAGGATTTGTTGAGAATAGCCAAACTCAAACGATGTAATGAAAGCCATATTAAGTCTGATATCCATCCACTGATCTGTCTGCCTGTCTTATATTTTCCTTGTTCCAGTTGCCTAAGAGCCAGGGTTACTTGAATAGTTCTGACGGCTCTGTGGTGCCTCCAATATGTAAGGCATTTGGTTACCACATTATTGGTCCTGCCTGTCCTTCTGCTGTACGCTCTCACTCTTGGGTTGTGCTGCTCCAGATGACAGAGTCTTCATGACTTTTACAGAGGTGCACAGGCACCTGCAATTTTCCAGGAATGTGGCATGACCTACAGACAAAGAAAAAATAATTAAGAAAAAAAAATTACTGATGTAGAAGGAAGCATCTCACACTCAGTCCTCCAACCCTCACACAGAACACATTCCTCAGCTTTACTATCCACAGAAATCCATTCATTTATTCAATCAATATTTATTATACATCTAGCTATTTGCTGATGCAGTGTTCTAGCCATGAACAAGGTCAAGCAAAATTCCTGATCTCAGAAACTTCTAATCAAATTGATAAAAGTGTATTTGTATCAGATTCAAGTTCTATGAAATAGTTGTTTTTTCTTTTTCTTTTTTATTTTTGCAAAAAGTCTCATATACATAATGCAAAATATAAAAGATCAGTTTATAAATAGAAAAGATCATAAAGGACAATCTTTCCTTTACTTGGTCCTCTTTGCTTTTTGATTATCTTTTGATGATTTAAATGGTACACCTACTCCAGGCCTACTTAAAAGTATGTCAGACTTACTCTAAGAGTTTCATTGCCTGAAATCTAGCATTCAGGTTTATAACTAAAACTTCTAATTTAAAATCCTACCATTGCTTTCCCTCTTCTAAATCTGTTTTAGGTCCTCAGCTGCTATTTCTGTGAGAGAGAACAATGGAACATTTGTCAGCACTTTGAACCTGCTCCTTTATAACGTAAGTTGATGGGTGAAGGATGTTATTTTGCTTTTCATTGTTTTGAGGAGCCATTTATGTGAATGGCTTTTATATAAAAATCTACTGAAAGTCATATTAACCCTATTATATTTTGGTAACATTTGCCCACCTTTACCTCTATTTTCATATATCTTAGTCATAAAGGTACAGTACAAATTCCATTACATTTTCTAAACATTGATAAATGATTCAAATTTTATATCATGAATGTGATTCTGTAATAGTTTATCCAAGTGTCTTTCTACATTTCTTTGTATATTTTTATTTATGTGTATACCCGTGTGTATAGCCATGGTCAGGGTCAAGATTTGGGGAACAATATTTTTGTGATACAGATGTATGGAAAGTCTGAATGATACTTCTCTTGGAGACATACTTGGTGATGAATGTGTTAATATTTTCAATATGGGTTTTGGTGATGACAGTTCTGTCACATTTGAAATAATTTGGATTGACGACACAGCATTGTCTAAACTTTTGTCATGTAAGTATCGATAGTGGCAGCAAAATGTGAAAAATACATGGATTTCTATTTATAACTGTAACATTAATCCCCCAAATGATATTTTCATGTTGATTAAAAATTTTTATTCATACATTTTAAATGCCTGATTTAAATATCAATTTTTCAATCTATCAACCAACATTTTTGTAAATTATGAATCTGATTTTTGCATTATTATTCATGTCATCATGGCACTGAGTTATAATTCATGCAACTGATTTAAAAGTCAGTGCTTTATACTTTGAATATAATGAGCTATAAATATTGTAGTAGGACATTTTCCAAAGGCATTTAAAAAAATCGTGTTTATAAGTTTGTATTCTGACACCACAGAGTTCTAAACAACAAATTAAAATGTGTTGGAATGAAGATTGCCTTTCTGTCATTTCTAAACTTTCCTCTGCAAAGAGAAGCTGCCAAGTTACTTGGTTCTATAATACTCAGTAAACATGTGCCCATATTCAATCCTGATATGGCCAGATATTTATTACTGTAGTGAGCAATATTTATGTAAATAACCTTAAATTGGAACATTTCTATTGATTTATAAGTGTATTCTCTGAGGTAGAATTGAGGTAACTGGTTTGGATTCAATATTATTCATTATAATTGAGATCAAGATGAGAATTCCCAGTCTTTTAAAAAGTGGAACTTACATCCACATGGCATTTAATGATATCCTTATATTCTGTGAAATTAAACTATCCTTTTACTAGAATAGCAGAATATCCAAATGTAGGAGTGTGGCTTCGAGGATAAGTTTATTAGAAATGGCATTGTAGCCCTATTGCTAACATGACATCAATTCAGAGTTCTCGGAATCTTGATGCTAATTAGAAGGCTATCATTCAATAATAACCTTCGTATTTTAAGTTTACGATAAGAGGAAACCATTTTTTTAAAATTTCAGATTATAAATGAAATAGCTGGTGCCAAAATTCTCATTTTAATCAGTTTGCAATAAATTATTATTAATGGTTGAATTAAAAAAATAAATCAAACTTTAAGTTTTTACTAATTAGGTATTGAATAAAATTCAATAATTTCCAACAAACTAATTTAATTTTTTTTAATTAATGGATTTTTAAAAAAGTAATTTTAGTCTTATGTAAATTTGTCCTTACACATAATTTTCTCTTTTGCTTATGTCTTGTGTTAGTGTGAAATATGTTACATTTAATGAACCAGTGGTGATGCATTATTGTTACTTAAAACCATAGTTTACATTTAATTTACTCTTCCTGTTATATGTCATATGGATTTTGTCAGTCATATAATGACATGTTCATTATTGCTGCTATCCTACAGAAGAGTTCCTCTGCCCCAAACTAGTTTTTTTTTTTTAACAGAGTACCATAATAGTATTTTGCCATGTTGGAAGACATTAAAATATTAGCAATTCACAATAGAGAAAAATTATAATTTTACTAATTTATTCCAAACCATATTTATTATTTCTTTGGAAAATAGCATTTAGTTATTTACCCTCAAGAATGATGAAAAGTTATA